CCCCAAAACCCCAAAACCCCAAAACCCCAAAACCCCAAAACCCCAAAACCCCAAAACCCCTAAATATATCTTTGCGACTGAAATTAAAGTGTCTTTTAGTAGTTCTCACTAAACAGCTTGTCGAGGTAGTCATCTATGTCCTCCATCTTGTGCGATATATTTCTCACATTCGAGGTTTCACGATGTATAACTCTAGGAGTAGGGGGCTCTGCATAATCTTGTTTTGAGTTAAATGAGGAGTCTATATCCATATCAACTTCCTTAGGTTTGTTGTCCGTCATGTTCTGAAGGTATGGAGCTTTGTCATTTTCTTTCTTCAAAGGTCTGTCCTTTTTCTTACTCTTGGATTTGGATTTACTTTTCTTTTTTTTCTTGCTCTTAGATTTCTTCTTCTGCTTCTTTTCAGACTTCTCTTCCTCACTAGACTGGGCCTGAAGAATTCTTCTGGTTTTCTTGATTCTTTTAGCCTTCTGGGCTTCTTGTTCTTCTTTCATTAAGCCTAAAATTTGTAACTGCTCTGGATCAAGGTATTGAAGGCTGGGATCTTTATCCTTGAAGTTAGGTACCGGCCCTGTTGGGACCTGGATCTCTTTAAGGCCTCTTGAGCTAGTTTTTGACTATATTTGGTCATTGAGAGCTTACTTTGGATAAGTTCTTTTCACTATCTGTATAGAGCACAGTCATCTTTTCTTCTGATTTAGCACTTTTCTTATTACCTTTTCTAACCTTTTGTAAGTTTTTAGTTCTGACAAAGTCCCTTTTGGTGTATCTCTTTGTCTGAGAAGTGGAATTCTCGAATCTCAGTAGCATTGCTGCTAAGTTTTGAAAGTCTTTCTCAGGGATTTCTTGAATTTCTTTTACAGATAAGGCACTTTGTATCTGATCTTTGTGCACTTGGACTGCAATCATGTCGTATAGGGCTTCTGTAATTTTGACTCATAAGAGATGGTATAACTGGGTGTAAGAAAGATCACCATAATATACTCCACGAGAAGCAAGCTCTTGGTGGTGTGCCCTAAGATATGAAGAATATAATAACTCATCTAGAGATTAATGGCTCACTAATTCTTACCTTTGTAAAGAACAGATTTTGTCCTAAACTTTTGATATCTTGGAAGCCCCAAGTGACTAGAGGCAACTGGATGGTAATATATAATATTCCTCAGGTTCCTTGGCTTCCTTAAAATAGGCTTGCTAACTTTCAATTCCTGATATGAATAATTAACCAGATCTTGTAACTCTTCCTGCCCTATAAGCATCTGTAAATGAAATTTAGGATCTATCTCTCTTCTAGAACTCCTTGCTTTGACTGATTGTCTCTTTACTGGAAATCTCGATCTCATATACCTCTGCTTGCACAAGCTACTTGTTCTCTGCTGTTTCTTTGGAGTATCGATTTTAGGTGGGTTCTTTCTCCATCTGAACCCCATCTTCCTATTCTTCGGAGTTTCTCTTGGCTGGGTGAGATTTGTTCTACTCTTATTTCCTTACACCCTTGATTTCCCTTTTCTTTGTAAGACCTATGCCCAGTTTGGTAAGAGCTTTATCAAGATTGAGGATATTTCTTAAAATACAGAATTCAGTAGAAATCTGTTCAGAATGGGTACTTGGAAGTTTTAATACAAAAGAGCTTACCTTGGGCTCCTAAAAGCATTGGATTACTTGGACGTTTCTCAGGTTGCTTGAGCTTATTATACTTTCTCCTTACTACAGAAGCAGACTTAGCCAACTTCTTCTTAGGAGCTATCTTCTTACTAGGCTTGGTAACTTTTGGATTGACCAAAGCAAGGAATTTAACCGAGTCAAATAATTCTAGGAATTTAGAGAAAGACAGTTTGCTAGGAATAGCACCTAGCTCGAATCTCTTGAAAATATTTTCTGCCAGAGGATACAGAGAAGACAGGAGTAGTTTCATTTCTTCTTTGTCCAAAGTCTTCTTCCTAAAATTGTGAAAGAGGGATAAAGCAGTAGCTTACTTTTGAATTGAAGGAAGGCTTTCAGATATCAGTCTTTGGTAGCATTTTTGGATATGCTTTATTCTTTCTTGATGTGAAATTTTGACGTGTTTTGTTCTCTTTCGATTGAGCATAAATCTTGGAGTTCTGAGTCTTTCTAAGGCTTGTGTAGAGTGAGTATTCTTCTGGTTGACAATTTCAATGCTTTGTTTAGAAGATCTTAAATCTATAGTTTTGCTTAGCCAGAGTTCCAGAACCCCCAAAAAGACGCAGTGTTTTGTGAAATTCTTATGAATTATTTATGAAATATTATAGAATTACTCTTTGGGAAATCAAACTGAGGTAGTAGCATGGTTCTCTGATAACCAGCTTCATTTGCATCTAAATATAAATCATATTACACATACTCTGTTTCATTTCTAGAAAGCTTCTATCTGCTGATCTAAGAGGATTTGCTTTATTCTTCTTTTTCTTAAGTCTATTTAGAAATGTTTGGAGCAATTTGCACTTCATCATCGAAAACAAAAGGGATCTCTGTAACTCTATCATTGGCCGAATAATACTTCTGGTAATCAACTATCCCAGGTGCTCTATAGTCATTATCATGGAGAAGGATCTCCTTCAGCATTCCTGCTTGATCGTCATAGTAAAACTTTCAGTTTGCAGCAGAGATAGACTTTTCATCAGATTTTAGATAAGATTTCACTAACTCTTGTTTCAGGAAATCATCGCATTCCTTAATGGTTTTACATCTAGGGCTATCTTGAAGATCAAATTGAGGGCTACCCATCTGGCTACTAGATTTCTTGATGGTTCTTCTGACCCGACCTCTACTCATTTCTCCAGGCTTAGACACGGAGGTATAGTTCTTAACAATATTCTTGAGCCTAGCAATCTTGATCTTGTCAATAAGTTCGATAAACTTTTTCTTGCTTAATTTCTTGATGTCATAGTGTTCCCTATAATAATGATTTATAACTCAAAGTGAAATCTTACCATAGCCCATATTTCACCTTTCCATCACCGATCTGGGGGACTAAGAGCTGACTTTCTTTGCCCTTCTGTGTTGGGTCATTAGCTTCCTCCTCCTTCTGGTGTAGGAAATCCCTCTCAGATTTTAAGTAGTTGTTCACAACTTTGACTAAATAATCTCTATGTCTTTTCTTAATACCATTCTCAGCCATGAAGGAGTCAATAAGGTTATTACGGGCTTCAAAAAGAGAGGAGTTCATATTCTCGTTAACTTTTAAGTCAGAGATCTCTTCTTCCTCAAGTACCAACCAAGAATTATCAAGGACATTCCTGTGCTTGAAGTTGTGATGGATTATCTGCTGGAAGACATATCCTTCCTCGTTTTTAAACTTCTTGAGCTCATACATTCCTCTGAAGAATGAAGCGGGGAAGCTTACCTCTGGAGATGCTTTATAGCAAGGTTGTACTTTGATTCAAGGAACCTCTTTTGGGCCAAGAACTATGGGTTTTACTCCAGGATTACCTTAATAAAATTCTTCTGCGTATCAAATTCTTTCCTAGGAGTTCTTAGATTTCTCTGAGCCTTGTTCTCGTATTGAGTTAATGGACTACAAAATGATGAACAGATCTTACCAGAACACACAAAATCTATCGCGTTTCTTCTTCTCAGTGCTGAGAGCTCATGGCTCATGAAAGAAGGGAGCTGGCTTTCTTCAACAGAGAGGATCATCTAGGAAGTCAATCACTTGTAAGCAGATTACCTAAATTTTTTTAGTAATGGATGACTTACATAAAACTGGAAGGTATATTTTTCTTTCCAAGTGAATTCTAGAATGTTTAGTTCCTCTTCAAGAGTAGTTCGTGTGGAAAATTGCTTTTTAAATGCCACTTCAAGAGTTTTGAAATTCTTTTCAGCTCCCTTAATCTCCTCGATTTGTGTTCTCTTAGAGCCTCTTTTCTTTGACCTAGATCTTGATTGGGTCTTGGGTTTTCTTTTATTTCTACTTGCCTTGGAAACTCCACTTTCTAATGATTTTGATGATGATGAAGCATCAAGTGGAATAAATTCATCAAGTTTACCCTCTTCAGGGTTATCCTTATCTTTATTTTGAGCCTTCTTGAGAGAATAATACTTGTCTGCTACTCGATAAATTTCATTATTTAGAGGTAGCATTTTGACAGAAATCAGTAATGAATCGATTCATGTTCTCATAGTCCACATCAAAATTAGCACTACTTGCACTAGGTATGCCCTCTGCTGATTTTTGTTTGCAATACTTTCTCTTACAGATTTCTTTAAGATCGTTTGGAATAGGTATTTCTGCATAAAGATCAATTTTAAGCTTTTCAGTACAAGTGACACAATAGACATCTCTGAAGTCAGAGTATAAAATTATTCCTACAAATTATTTTTTACGGTTACCAAAGTCCCTGCTTGCACTGTAATTAGGATTATTTCTGTAGTACTTCACATAAGAGGTAGACGGAGTGAAAATCTTCTTGTAGCCTAATCCTTTCCAAAACTCATTTTCAATAGTAAACCCAACCTCTTCAGTGGATTTCTTCTCCTCAATAGGCTTGATCTTGTTGAGGTAGTCGTTAAGTTCTGTGCTAAGAGAAGGTGGCTCTTGTCTCTTGGTCTTAAAATTTTTAAACTTCTCCATAACTTGGCGTCTTTCATCTCTTGAGGCAATATCAAAGAATGGCAAATTGTCTAGATAGTTAAAACTACTGCATACCTTTCCCAATCATTCTTCTGCAATCTTTTCTATTCCTAATCAGTTTATACTTTGATTCTAAAAATTAGCACAAATATTTTACTTCTGGTCATCTTTCTTCTTGCAGATGTCTGAAAAACAGTGTCTTCTCCTTGAGTATTGGTGACCTCAAAGTGAGCCTCGTCTCGAAAATTACAATTGGAGTCTAAGGTCCTCTTCCTAGCCATTGATCTGGTTGTGCTAGATGACTAAAAATTAGCTTAGTTTCCTTACTGATAAATTTGGGCCTTCTTTAAGCATTTCAATTAGTATTAAAACGAGGGGTTTTGGGGTTTTGGGGTTTTGGGGTTTTGGGG